CTTACGCGAGAAATCCCTCGTATAGTCAGGATCATGTCATAACGAAGTAACTTTCGAAAGTAAACGTAACAGGTTTTGCGAAAAGTACTTTCCTTATAGCGAAAACCAAGCTATACGATCTGGCGCTGAGCGACCAATCTAAACTTTGCTTCCTCGCACCACAATCTGACAGATCTCACTCTTTAGCCCTTCGTTCACGAGCATCCGCTCTCATTCCTCCCGATTACATTCCAGAATGAAACCACCCCGCAAACGACTCCGCACGAGCTCTACATCGAGCTTCTTAGGCTCTGTCTCCCTCGAGTAAAAAAAAAAAAAAAAAAACAACTTCCATACAAAGGAAATTTTATACGAAACTTTCATCGTATAAATCAAACCTACAACGGAAAAACGTTTTCTATAACCTCAGGCATACTTGGCATATCAAGCTCGACAAATGCTACCTGGCTATTGTCCGATCACGCTTCACTTCAATGCCAAGTTTACAAACCGACTCGACCTTTTTGATAGCACGAAAGTGTCTTAGTCTAATCCTCTACCAAATACGACCTTGGCTGTGAGGCTGAACACAACCTTCACGCCAAGCCAATACATTCAACAGATAATGCAAACTTGTCGAAAATTGGCTAAGTTCTGTATTCTCGCGATTCACTCTATTTCCGAAGCAAGTTGCCTACAAAATCCGACGTATAAGAAAACACTCGTACCAGAGCTCCTAAAGCCGTACGAATCTCGGAAGGTCAACACTTCACAAAGCACTGTAACGAAAAATGCTTCGTTTCGGGGAAACAACTTACGCGACCTGTCGGTCCTAATTGCTCTAGCACAAATCATAAAACTATCTAACATACAAACAGGAATGTAAGTTTTAATTGTGAATATCCGCAAACGAACCAAAGTGTTCCTGCAAAGCTGGGTTAAGACAAAACCCTCGCAACACCGCGCAACACCTTCAAGCCCGCAAACGTTCCGAACACGAAACGCGGCATATAAAATAAAAACCAACTTTCGGCAGTGCGAGACGTCGCAGACGCCCGGAAAATAGTTTTTCGACAAAAATATCTTCCTCGATAAAGTCATTTTCTTGGAAGACCTAACGGTATGTCCGCGACTATAAAATACGCAAAACTTCTTAACATACGTATCCTTCGCGAAGGCCCAAACAACGTAAACATCTATCACCTAAAAAGTTTGTTGCTGATCACAACAAACTCGCAACAGTCCTAAAAAAACTTAAGTTATCTCGCAGAGATAGCTCTCGAACACCCGACACAAGGGTAATAGCGCTATAAAAGAAATCCAAACTTTTGGTCAGCACTTCCGGGCAACTTAGAAATTGTTCCCGGTGAGATGCTTGGTTCCAACCAGATGAATCATATAAGCCGAGAACCTATCGCGGATTCTAAATCGGTATGGAATCAGGTTAAAATCGCAACAGGCAAAACGAAAGCCGACTAGTCATCGCATAGCCTCAATCCGAAAGTAAACCTAGGTCTTTCCCTAAACCCAGCACACTGGTCTCTAACGTCTCAAGGCATGAATCGAGATCCTAAAGGCATGTCTCTTCGTCTATATCTAAACGCTCACTCAATTTAACATCCTAAAACGAGCAAACGACAACTCGCGGACCTCCCTCAATATCAACTCATATTCTTCCAGCTACATTCATATGAATAAAAACACGCTCTTAAAAACGCAAACTGATTTTTAATAAAGCCGCAATGGCGGCAGGGACTTTGAGCCGCACATGGCCAGTCCAAAAACTATAACGGCCACGCTCGGGCAGACCAAACGGCCTACGAGGCTAGTCTCAAGGCCGGCAAAGGTCCAGATGCCATCGACATCTATATGCTCGATAACTCCTACACGACACATAAGTAGACTATAAAGGTCTCACCGCGAAACAGGTCATACGAACCTTAACTCCAAAACGAACTACGAAAGGCTTGATCCCCTCAAAAGCGTACGTAGGCAGCCTTCACAAGGCGCAGCCCTAATCTTAAACGCTTTCCGCTCCCTGGAGAGTGGAAAGATCATTTTCAACGGAACTTTCCAACCATTAATTCCACCTAACTTATCTAAAACTAGCTAACCACTCGCAAGAACCTTACGCTAAAGGCTCAAGATTCTAGCGAGCTGGGGGGCTAACTGTTGGTGTCAAAATCGGTCACGACGGAATCAATGGCAAAAAGTATCCGCAAAAATATAAAAGAAATCGTTTTATAAAACTCGAAGAATCGTTTTATAAAACTCGAGAATCGTTTTATAAAACCCAAGGATCATTTTATAAAGCTCGAAGAATCGTTTTATAAAACTCAAAGAATCGTTTTATAAAACTCGAAGAATCATTTTATAAAACTCGAGGATCGTTTTATAAAACTCGACAAATCATTTTATAAAACTCGAGAATCGTTTTATAAAACTTGAGGATCGTTTTATAAAACTCGAAAAATGGTTTTATAAAACTCGAGAATCGTTTTATAAAACTCGAGGATCGTTTTATAAAACTCGAAGAATCATTTTATAAAACAAGAAGAATCGTTTTATAAAACTCGAAGAATCATTTTATGAAACTCGAGAATCGTTTTATAAAACTCGAAGAAACGTTTTATAAAACTCGAAGAATCTTTTTATAAAACTCGAGAATCGTTTTATAAAACTCGAAAAATCGTTTTACAAAACCGCGAAAAACCGAAACCGCCGTAAAACGCGAACTAGCCTCAACCCGGCTAGTTCGCCTAACGGCGAACTGAGCCAAGCCGGTTAGTTCGCCCAACGGCGAACTAAGCCATGAGCGGCTTAGTTCGCCCTTGGGCGAACTAAGCCATGACCGGCTTAGTTCGCCCTTGCCATGACCAGCTTAGTTCGCCCTTGGGCGAACTAGCCTCGTCCCGGCTAGTTCGCCCAACGGAGAACTAAGCCATGACCGGCTTAGACGCCGTTGGGCGAACTAGCCCCGTCCCGGCTAGTTCGCCCAACGGCGAACTAAGCCATGCCGGCCTAGTTCGCCGTTGGGCGTACTAAGAGGCGCTGACTTTGCCCCAAAGGTTCTTATCGCTTAGTTCGCCATACGGCGACCTGGCCAAGCTGAACTAGCTCGCCGTAAGTCGAGTCGACCATCCCGAGCCTCGATCTCCCACATCCTTTATTAAAGGCATACGTCCTTTGAACGATCATATTCCGAATCATGGTCAAAATGTCTCCCGTTTCGTCTCGATCCGTCCTTCGTTCGAGTTTTACGATAAAAACCGTAAAACTTTGTTTTCTCGAAAAGAACTCGAGGAAATCGTATAAAACGGCACTGGTTAAACGAAACGCCGAATATTGCCTGAACTATACGATTTATTCGAGATTTTTCGTAAAAATCGTACAAAACGCGTTTTTAATAAAACCCCGAGTAAATCGTAGAAAACGGCAACGATTAATCGAAACATCGAACAGTGCTTAGCTTTACGATTAACTCGAGAAACTTATCTAAAAACGGCATCGTATCAGGAAACGTTCTCGTCTAAAGTCGTAAAACGGATTTATCGCAAAACGGCTCGGAAAGTCATAAAACGTGATAAAAGCCATCGCGACTTTAAACGAAGTCCAACCCGAAGATACGACGACGTTTTTGTGATTTACTTGCAGAAAGAAGATAAATGTCAAACTTGAAGATAAATGTCAAGCTTGAGGATAAATAGAAGATTTCCGCGGAAAAAAGGAAAGATAGAGATAAATGGAAGATTCCCATTAAAATCGAATCTGGGCAAATCGGAAAGACTAAACCGCCTAGGAAGGGAGTATATAAGCAAGAGGCATAGGGCAGAAGCAAAGGGACGAATTTCAGAGCTCTCATCTGAGACTTTTACAACTTTTCTAGACTTAGAATTTTCCGCACTTAAAAACTTAGGCTTTTTCTCGACAAGTTCGGTTTCTATGACTGGCGATCGATTACTAGACGAACTCGCCTAGGCGGTTTGATCTCTGGTCCAGCTCTATCAACTGAACTACGTTTGACTTGATCCTCGAAAGGGGTACGTAGGCAGCCTTTCATAAGGTTCAGTCCGAAATCATTCAAATCCTTTTTCTTATCTTTTTCCGTCTTTTGTTATCGAGCTGCGACTCGAGTAGGTTTAAGGTTTTTATGTTGATAACTCGCTGACGGCCCTGCGGCCAAAGCCTTTGTAAAACCTTGTAATGATCGCAACGCTCTTACGCGGAATCGAAATAAGATCTACTTTTTCTTTAAATTCGTTTTATTACGTTTTTCGTATTTTTCCGCATTTATTTGGTTACTTGTCGTTGGCTTTCGCAGAGATCCGGTTCCTCTTGAAAATTAGGGTTTTCCTAAGTTTTCTTATTTGACGGAAATCGATAAATGTGAATTTCGGTTCCCACAATATACAAATTTTAAATTTATAAAAATAATTTTGAGTTATTTATGAAATAATAATTTTTAAAGATTAAAACGATAAATAATAAATATTTAAGATTATTATAAATATGATGTGTAATTGTGCGCACCAAAATGTAAATAAAATATGAAACTTCAAATTTGAAGTTTTAGAGTTCCTTTTTGCAGAGGCAAAAACTTCATATTTGAAGTTATAGAGTGTCTTTTGGAGATGTTCTTAGTCTGCGATGGATCAAAACCTGGCACGTTCGAAACCTGAGAAAGGTCTTCTAGTCCTTGCGTATATATCCCTATGTTCCTATCTTCTACTTCACTCAAATTGTCACATGTTAATTGAAGATACATGATTAAATGCTGGTATAATAACAAGTACAAAAAGCATACATTAACACAAACATAAGCATAGATTATTTATGAGGAGGACCTTTTGGTCTAGTAGAGAGAACCTTTTGCTTCCTTCTTTCCATTCCATGATCCGGGAGCCTCTTCTTTCCCTTTCTACCTCCTGAGCTTGTGTTCACTGTTTCTAGTTAAAAAATCATCATCACTTCCATCTTCTTCATCATTCTTTCGAGCATCTTCCGCATTCTGAACTACTTCATCATTTTCTTAGATACGTCATTATCCTCTCCTTGTTTGTCATGAACCCCAAAAGAAACTCCGGTGTCTCTTCGGACTCCCAAATATGGTCACTGAAGTCATGCTTATCACTTTTCATCCTCATGAGAAGCTTGATTCTATAATCCTCCACCTCATCAACTCTGATAAATTCAGCACTTTCAACTACTAAATAACTGTCTCCCCACGAGATGTATGGATAGATGACATCCTACACAAGAAAGGTTATTAAAACACTCATTTCAATCCGGATGCATTCATCTTAAATATAAATAACCTCGGGTGTAAAGATGCTCTCCAACTGAATGATATCCCCGTATGAAATCTTTGCAGCTCCTCTCCAGTTTACACATCTAGAACCGTTCATAAAACTTTTGTTCAGTTTTCTTCCATAGAGTTTTCCAATCTTTGGTACTGCTTCCATTACCCAGATCTGAAAAGCGTAGGAGAAGCCATCTAACACGTAAATGGTAGTCTTCTCCTTCAGATGGTCACGATTTTTAGCTACTGGCTCGCATAGAAGGTCAAAAGCAGCAATTCCCCAAGGGTAGTTTCGAAACTTCTCAAGATCCATGACCAGCTTGATATACTTGAAGGGGATATTAGCCTTCTCATCTCGGCCGCAGACCATAGTAACAATGATGCACATATACATCAATCTTATTCGATCAGCATTACTCCACTTCTTAACATCTTGCTGGTGATTTTTCCACAGGTCCAACATACAAATTCCCTGTTTTGTCTACACCACTGTGCTCCAGAAACCACCATCATCTTCCCACTCAACCAACTCCATTGGGAGAGACTAGTATTTCACTAAAGCCCGGTAATTTCGTGGAACTCTAACAAAGAAAATCTAAGTGGTCTCCTTGCAAAGATAAACTATAGCTCGTAGTCTTTGTAAGTCACCAGTTCCCGACACAAGAAGCTGTGTATCACTCTTGCGGAGTAACCCAAACCATTCTCGTACAACTTGAACACCTGAGCAAAAACTTGATCTTTCTTCACTTCTTTCAACTCCTTTGGCAGCCATTCCTTCAACCTTTCCATATAACACACCATCCTACTGTTGTTATTGATCTGAGTCACTTGGGTCTCCTCACCATCCTTAAAAAGCCGCTTTGGTAACTCCCAAACATACCTACAATCAAAAATAAAATATTGTTATGAAACCTGAAACAAAGAAAAGAACAACAATGTACCTTTACTTCTGTATAGTTTAAAGTACACGTCCTATTACTAAGATTTCAGAGAACACCATTACATTCAGAGAACAACATCACATTCACAGAACATCACTTTCGGACAACGACAGAAACTAAGCTCATATGACTACTACATTCACAGAACATTACTTTCGGACAACGACAGAAACTAAGCTCTCATGACTACTACATTCACAGAACACTTCTATATGTTAAACATGAATATAAGCCATTTTCATATTTTCTCTCTTTCAAGAAAACCTAAATACTCTACAAATACAAATCACAAATATTAACATGCATGCCTAGATCGTCGTCGATAAGAAGCTTAATCAACCTATACAAGTAATTTTAGTTGAACAAATAAACCAAATCGGGTTTAACAAATCAAGGGTTAAGAGAATCAAAAGAAGTGATCGCAAACCTAGTGAGATTTTGATGAGAACCTTGACACAGAGTGTGAATCAACCCTCCGAAGATACTCGTACACAAAGAACATTGTCCAAAGAAGAAGGTTGTCCAAAGGAAGAACAAATCTATTCAATTCATGTCTGAGAACAAAGATAATTCACAAGAAAAAAAGATGAGAGAGCCAAAAATCGATGAAAAAACAAGTAAGAAACACGACTAACCCTAAATCGCCATTGAAGGGAGTAGAAGCTTTCGGCGAAGAGGAGAGAAACGTGAAATTAGGGTAAATGTAAAACACACTGTTTTATCTCCTTTCATGTTTCCCTTTTTTTTACTTTAACTTTTATATATATATATTATGAAATTGAATTTTAATTATGTAAATTAAAGGGTATAATGGTATTTAAAAGAATATAAATCCTACTTAAATAAATAATCTTCTACAAATCCTACTTTCCCAAATCCTAGTTCAAAATGTCTTTATTTCCTAATTTTCCCTTTATACTTCTACCACGCGTTCCTTTACATGGTCTATTTTCATCTAACATATATTTATAATAGTTTTGTTTATATATTGTTCTTCTATACTTAACTATATCGTTTTATACATCAAACCATTCACGGCTGCTGTTATTAATAAGACTAGATGATAATCTGCAGCATGTGAAGATTGAATTTATAAAGCTAATTATGTTTGATGATTTTGTATTTAATAATAGTTAACAATTATACACATGTCGAATAGTGTGCATGATAGAAAATATATTGATTAATTGAGAAACATTAATTATTAAGTATATAATTAAATTGGTGCAAATATATAAATCAGACAAATCACTCTTATTTATTTACTTACTATCACTTTACTGGTAAGTAAATTTAAATAATCATATTTATCTATATTATATATAGTTAAATTTAAATGATATTAAGATATATATATATATATATTATATTTTAATATGGTTATCTATTAAATGAGATTTCATAATCACGGTTTATTGATCATTCATATATTTTTATAACAAAAGTTTTTAAATCATTGGTAACAAAATTTTCAATGTGGAAATCTTAATAAGTTTATAATTTATAAATGTTTTTTTTAAAATTCATTGTAAATTTTGAAACTAAAAATTTATATTTTTATGTCAATGAAATATCTATATATTCTTATATTGTATATATTTAATATATATATATATATATATATATTATTTTAAATATCTATTAAATAATATTTTTTACTCATATGATTTTAAGATCATGTGTATCTTATTAAATAAAAATGTTAAATCATTGATCATAAATCTTTTAACATAAGAATTTCAATAATTTTAGTAACTTATAGCTATTTTCTAACCTTCGAAATATAACATTTACGAAAAAATCGAAATTTTAATTTTATAGTTAATTTGATTTTTTAATTTAATTTCAATAATATAAAGTTAAACAAAAATGATGAAAAAGACACAAATTGTTATCAAATATTCATTAATTAAAATCATTAACTGTCATACACATATAATATATATATACTAGGTGATTTTCCCGTGCTCATGCACGGGCATAAAAGTAAAATTTTATAATAATTAATTGATATTTAGTTTTAGTTTAATAAATTTATATGTATAATTTATATTAATAAATATTCTATTATTCTAATTATACATATGACTTTGGATATATTATTGTCGGTTTAATTATTTTTTGGATCAATAGTCGGTTTGGTTATCAATTTGGTATAATAGATAATATCTATTTTTTGAATTTAGCTATAATATTTTTTATTTTAAATATAATAAAACTTTGATTAATTTTTTTTTTCATTTCAGTTGGTTATTGTCTTAGATATGTTAATATATTCTTAGATATGTAAATATATTATACTTAAATTATGTATAACTTAATATATATTGTGCTTACAATAAAATAAATAATAAGCTAAAGTGTTTGATCAAAGTTACATAAATGAATGTAATGATAATATTTTGAAGTCTCATGCATATATATAAATTCTACAAAAGAATTAATATGTAATTAGTTAATATTTTCTTTTTTACCATGCTTTGAGTCAGCTTCTAATTTATATGTATAAAATTAAATAGATTATTATTATTATTATAAAATTATATTTTTATTGTAGTTAGAAGTTTGATTTTGGATATAAATTAGATTAGTAGAATCATTCATTTTGTGAGTATATTGAGTTAAATATATTTTTAAATTAAAATTGAAGGATAATTTCTTTTTATTTTAGTTAAGTCAAATCAAATTAGTTTTATTTATCACTTAAATATACATGTATTCTCATAATATTTATTTACTCTTATTTTAGTTAAGTTAAATCAAATTAGATTTATTTATCGCTTAAATGTACATGTATTTTCATAATATTTATCAAATTATATGTTGATTCTAAAAAATATTAGAAAATGAAGTGTACTGATAAATTTTTTAATGTTCATGAACATGTATATTTTTATTATTTTGAAAATATATTTTATGTTATTTAAAAGTATATATTAATGGGGATATTACTATTTTGTGAACTTTCCTTTTTTTATTAAATCATATTATATAAATATATTTTCGTTTTAAAATTTGTTTTAAATTTTTTGAAATATTTCTTTTTTATTATATATGTTATTTGGAAAAAGGTAAAAAAGAAACTAAATAAAAAAAAATCTTAAAATCTAACAATTCATTAAGGGTATCTATGTAATCAACCATCGTGAAAGTTAACGTGAGCGTGACACGTAGGAAAGTGACTTCTCAAATAATATTATAGAGATTAGTCATATTTGGTAAATCCGTAGTTTTTATCAAAGGAAATAAAAGAAAATAGTAATTGTACACTCTTAATTAATTTTATGATTAGTTTAATGAAAAGTATAGTACTATATATGTAGATAGACCAATATATTTTTCTAAAGATTCTAAAAATCATCCTGATAATGACACGTGGTTACACTAAAAGGTTGTAATGCTCCTCAATTAATATGTAAAGGATTCCGCATGCAATTAACCTATCCTTGGGTTCTCATGTGTCTATGTTCAACGCCTGCATTCTTTTATTGTCTCTTGCCTGCTTATTACCTACTCAATAAATCTACCTTGCTTCCCAAGGTGTCTCTCTATTTCTCAACAGATATTTTATAGAATAATTTAGAGCAAAAAGTTTACATATTTAAAATGTTTCTTTTTTTGTGTGTGAATTTAGAGACCTTGTGATCTAGACATATCAATTACACTCGTGGTGATGCACTGTGTCTATTCTCTTTGATAATATATGAATCTTGGGTTTTCCGCACAAGCATGTCTTCCAGTAACTTTGGAGAATAGTAGCCATCTGGTCAGTACCGGTCCTGACATGGGAAAGACTAGAAGCAATTTAAAAAAAAATTGGCCATTTTTATAAGAACGTTTATATACTATAATAATAATTTTCTTATAAAAAAGGCTGAATTTTTCAAGTATTTTTTTAGGACCGGAAGCGGTTGCTTCTAATGCTTCCCCTCAGGGCCGGTACTGCATCTGGTTGGTTATTTAGAATTCATGTTATCATACTCAAGGTTCTTGGAATCTAGAAAGCCACCTACATATAGTAAAAAAAAAAGAAGCCCAAGACCAAGTTAGAAACTCAGCATCTAAGTCCGGAACCATCACTAGGATGAAATGAAAAGATCCAAACTCTGCATCTCCTATATTATATTTGAGGAGCATTCTTTAAGTTGTAACATTGTTATCTATGCTGATGTGTCAACTTCACAAGTCTTTTCACATACATTAACTAAAATCCATCATTTAGTGGGAAAATTACAAAGAATGTCATTGTGGTAATCTTTATGCGTCCACCATTATTTTCCATATATTAGAAACAGTTCAAATTCCAATTTAAAACCATATGCTTAGATCAATTTTGGTACAAACCGGTACACCTAACATTTTTACACAAATTAATATTGCTAAACCAAGAAGGAGAATTTGATTAGAATACAAGTTAATTGTTTATATTCAACCTTTTATAACGTTACTTACAACATATTTGAAATGTTAAAACTGTCTTCAAGGTTCTGAACATAAGAAAATCTCGAGAAACATGTTATTTCTTCCACGATTTGTTATATATTCAACCTCAAACTCATATGTATAACTGACATGCTTCACACGAGGGGTGGATCCAGTAATCTATTAAGACTGTGGCACACAAATATATTAATTATAAATAATTAAATAACTAATATAATATATTGATTAAAAGACCAATAAATAACTTAAAAAATAAAATCAAACTTAAATAGTTGATAACAACTAAAAACATACAGCTCTAATATACTAAAAGTAATTAAAAAATCTCATAAAGTCATTCTTTGATCTCTCATATCATGAAATCTTTTGATCACTGTCTCATTTGTCACGTTATTAAAGTGATCCTTTTCAATATATCAAACCATACAATCATTCAGAAACTCATCACTCATTTGGTTGCGTAAAGTAATCTTCACAGTTTTCATTATAGAGAAAGATCTCTCAACAGTAGCAATAGGTAGAGTAAAAATCAGCTTCAGAAGTTGATAAACAAGAGGATGTAGAAGTTGTTTTTGGTCTCCACTATCACACGTACAAGATCCCCAAGACCCTTCAAATTGGTAAACCTTTGATCTTCAGAGATTTTATCTATGTAAATACTAAGCTGATGTTTAAGAGATATCCGTTCCATAGAGCGAAAATCTTCAGGATAAAACTCTGATAATCTTACAAGCTTTGACTGATAAAATTGTCTGAATTAATCAATGGGGCTCAAAGATGCTGTGCAACCAAG